TTGGCGGCTCCGACGTGATTTAATGTTAACGATTATCACGAAGAGATCGCCAGAGTGTTCGAGGTTTATAATGACCCGTTGACTCATTAAATATACAATTACTTTATTGTGGCGATCAGCTTGGAAAGACGTCAATAATAAGAACCAGAGAATGGATATGGGGTAAAAATTAAAAATTATGTTCCCTTAAGTGCTTAATAGGCAATAGATACTCAACGAGCAATACCTTTTAATATAAACGAGTGGTATGGGTGGGGTGACAGCATACGATGTCCAGCACTAACGTCAAGGGTCCACTCAATATCACGCGTCTTCTATCAGGCTTCTTCTCACTATACTCCAATTCAACTCCTGGTCCGACTCACTCACTTAGCACACCGCGACCCTTTTATTTCGTTATGCCTGACATGCGCATTACATTTTACGGTGATACCATCTTTATAAAAGTACCTCCTAGTCCTGGTGAATGGACTTGACAATTGGGAAATAAACTTTTTTTTAGGCTAGTGTCGCGTTGCTCGATCTTTCTTCATTCCTACCATATATGTTTATTTTACACTCGTCGAGCCAGCTTTTGAGGAATTTTTATGCATACTCGCAGACGTAGCAGACTGTGCCCCAGTATTTTCTTCATACATAAACGCTCCACTTTGAACTGTAATCATATTTTGGAAGCGGGAACCTGGGCAAGACGATGCTTAGCAAATGAGGAGTGACAAAAATGACAGGTTCTTGTGCCAAAGGCCGCAATTGCGACCACGGGCTACTAGTGGATGAGAAACCGGACCTCGGTACTCCTTACCCTCCGGAAGAACAATTTTGCAGGCCTAGGCCTAACCCAGCAATGGAAGCTTAGGCTAAGGCCATCCTTAAACGCTTCCTTCCCTTGTGGAAGCGGGAAAAGATACATTTAGTGTCAACACGCTAGTGTTTAGCCATGCTGGTAGGGATTCCCATGGGAAGTGGGCTCTCTCCGCACGCCGTAAACACCAGTAATAGGTTCTCACATAGGGTGATGACGGAATGCTTGGAAACAGCCAGGTTAATTTGTGCTGAATTTAGTCCTCACTGGCAATCAGGGTGCTCACTCTAACTAATGGACTGCATGCGATGGAAGTGTTGGAACTCGGAGGTACGCGTGACCATGTGGGTTTAACTTAGCCATGCCTAACTCTAAAATAGGATCGGTGTAAGCTTGAGTATTTAATTCTTTAGCTCCCAGGAACATTTCGGCTGATCGTATAGAATACGCTGAGGCGTTTCGTGCCTCATTTTGCCGAGGGGCCTAGAGACTTCAACTTTTCCAGGTCGCAGGATTGGTAGTTCTGAACCTTACAAATAGTTTTTATTTATTTATTATTATTATGAAACACTTCGTGCCATATCTTAGTTAAAATTTTAAGCTCGGAAATATCAAGCGCACCATGATCGTAGGAAGTCACTTAAGGGTTGCAGGGGCAACGATTTGAACCGCTAAATATGGTGCGGTGTGCCAGCATAGACCTGCACTGACCTAGGTGAAGATGTTAATGCTGAAAGATATGGGACGCAACGTAAAACTGCCTTAGCTTCAGAACCAAGAGAGGCTGTCAACACTACGCAGTGAGCAGCGCGTGTACGCGTCGAACCATCATCTCAATCATGTTGTGGTGGCCGGGATTTCCAATATCATTCCACTCGTTCTGCACGATCTCAGCACTATGAGTGCGGAGGGCTCTGTTGACCGTTGTCGGGCTGATCGAATCGGTCATAGGCTAGGCGCAATTTTAGATTCGTGTTACCTTACGGCACATATGTGCCTTCCACTGTCTAAATTATAGGCGAGGTGCATTTCGTGGTTCGTTCATTCATCTGATGGGCATACACGCCTGGACCTTATGGAACACTAGTTGAGCATAACTAAGTACCCAAGTAAATGAAGTTCGGAATTCCACGAGGAGAAAGAAGCGATGAAGCATATCTCCATGAGAGTATGACAATACTGAAAGAATAAGTGAAGAAGTCTGCGTCATTGCAAAGCAACACAAGGCAGTTATGGCTACGAGAAGTGCAACGCGCGCGTACGCGTCGAACCACCACCTCATCCGCGAGCTGCGTTGGCAGGGACGCCCCATATCATTACAGCCATGGAGAGTCGCTTTCGTGTTAGATACAACGAGCTTGTATCCGGCTGTGCCGGGATAGAACCACCTCCTCACCCAAATAAATGATGAAATCTCTCATGCACATATGCACTTAACTGCACATATTTCTTTAGCCCCCGATTCTTTTTGTCCCTGACACTCCAGAGGTCGACGGGATGCTGCGAGGCCTGGGCCGCCGATTCTTCTCATTCCTGGTCCGGCATCTCTAGCACCAGATCTTATCTTATGCTTCTTAAAATATATCTGTTGATCAATCCCCTCGTTGATCGAAACCTTGCGAACAGATTCGCGATCCACGTGTGGGAGGCCGCTTGAGAGCTAGCGAAGTTTTTCGCCAGGCAGTTTGCGAAATGTTCGCATTTATATAGGAGGAGATCATACTGAGATGACAGCCCCTGTAGTTGGGAACATAAAAGCAGGATGTGGGCATTTGTCCCCTCCAAAGACTTGATCGATAGAGTCCAGGGTGATCAGGAAATTCTCGTGCACTTGCTCCGTGCCATGGAAAGTGTAACCTTCATATCCTCCATCCGGTGGACCTCTAGTGATGGTATCCATTAAATCCACGAATGAAGGTGCGGGCGATGGGCCGATGTTGATAGGCTCTTCTCTCCGTCTTCTGATCGGATATGCAGATATTTGTTTCCCTTGACAACTGGCTAAGACGGTTTTTAGTAGATGAGGAGTGACTAAATTTTGGTTCTTGTGCAAAAGGCCACAATTGCAGCCACAGGCCACTAGTCGATTAAAACCGGTCGACGGAACTCGTTTCGACGATCTCAGTGGGAACAATTTCGTTTTCCTAGGCCTAACCCAGAAATGGAAGCTTAGGCTAAGGCCACCCTCACACACTTCATTCCCTCGTGGAAGCGGGAAGACTTTCCGTTGTTAACGCTTTCACTGACATGCACATTTAGGTCAATCAAGCCTTACCACATATGTATAACGCACGAAGTCTACAAGGCTATGATATTATCGGACATAGGCTAAACGAAGGGATGCGTGAAAACTGCATATATCGTGATAGGCATTGAATGTCATGTGATGGAGGGGGAACGATGGATGGGACTAAGAAGGCATGAGAGGCCGATATATGCCAGGGAACAGTCGGAACTTGAATCTGGGCCTTCTGATTCCCGGTCAGGAATGCTACCATTACACCACCGAACTCGAAACATACAGTCGTGCCCCTCGATGCCATCTTCATCCATCACAGTATTTACACCCACGCTGTGTTTGACCAGTTTGACCACGCTGATGCGACTCTCTTAGGAAGTGGATCTTGTGCGTACACCATAAAACACTAGTAACAGTTCCTCATACGGGGAGATGTCGGTGGAATGTTTGAAAAGAGTCAGGTTAACCTATTATGCTGAATTTAATTCTCACTGGCTAACTACTGGAGACTGGCAAGCAATCAGGGCGTTTCCTGTAACTGAAGGATTACATACTGTGGAAATGTCCGAATTCGTAGGTACGCGTGCTTCAGGGTAATATCCTAGCCTAGGCATTAATCTCGGGTAGGAATAGTGTAGAAATGAGCATTTCATTTTTATGTTTCCAGGAACGTGTCGGCCTATCCTAACATCCACATTGCTTTAGAATATGACGGGGCGTTTCGTACTTCATGCGACCGAGGGGCCTAGAAGCTTCAGCTTTACCAGGTCGCAGGCTTAGCAGTTGTGATACCTGCATATGAAAACATTTGTCTACCTTCAGCTCTGAAACAATGTATGTACTATTATTTTAGGACGTCGCTTCAGGGTAGCAGAGGTCAACAATTTGAACCACTAAATAGTTGAAGTTAGGTGTGGCGTGACTGCACTGTCCAGTAGGCAGCTTGAAGGTATTAATACCAAGAAATACGGGAGGCAGCGTAAAGCTGTTAACTTCAGAATTTTATGAGGCTGTTGACGCTACGCGACGAGCAGCGCGTGTACGCTTCAAACCTTTATCTCACATTCGAGTTGCGTTGGCTGGGAAACCCAGTATCATTCCACCCGTTCTGCACGATCTCAGCATTGAGTGCGGGAGGCTTTGCCGACCATTGCCGGGCTGATCGATTCGGGGCCTGATTTGCAGGACTCGATAGACGATGAATATTCGGTGTCAAAGTAATTTTGCTGGGGGCTTTCCCCAAGTGTTGCCAGTCGTCCACAAAGCAACTCGCGGGTAATTCCTATCAAAACGAGCCCATTTTGACCATTGTCCCGTGCACTTCATTTGGCAGAGAGCATTTTTGCTGTTCAAGAATTTTATTTTACAACATCGGAACACTTCCGCGTGTGCAGAACTGTCGATCCGAATTCTCCGTGCATTTACTGGTCAATTGTGTCTCGGGCTATTTGGTACGCAGGGGATTTGCAGGGTTAGTTGATAAAAGTTCACTATTTTGTTGAACGGTATTGGAGATATACCAGTGATTTTCTTGAGGTCGCAAGTATCGTTTGCCATGAGACGGTCACAAGGGAAGACTAGAGAGACAGACTTGAGTGTGAAAAAAGTTATGAAAGACACGTCATTACAGAACGTAAGGTAGTGCGTTTGAAGGATCAAATTTCTCATACTCCGTTCGATGTTATGGTGTCTGGTATTGCTTGTCCTGTTAGAGGCTCTACTGGGAGACAGACGGCATTGGAAAGCGTGTTTGGTGTGATAGAGGGAGGGGAGGTTTGGGAATTGTGTCTAGGATCGAGGGACGTGCTTTGTAATCATCTTCCAAAAAAAAAATCTGCTACTAGTCTAGACATTTCATACCCGCAGCAATGTCTGGCGAGAGAGCAGGGATCGATAAGAGATCTTCACGGTTCCCGAAAGTGTTTTTCATGAGAGGCAAAGGAGTCATAAAGCACACATCTACGCAGGATAGAACTTAATCACAATGAGGAGCCCCTCGAAAAGGTCCACTCCTTCCATGCGGCATCGATGCGGAAACTCGGCCAGGTGAGTCTTTGGCAGACCTGGTGTCGTTCCCTTTCGGTTTCGTTGAATAAATCTGCGAACCTCCACCCAGCAGCGCTCGATGTTTTGGGTGTGAGCACCATTTACGGTGTTCAGGAAGTTCTCCTCGTGATTCATCCACTGATGTAGGTATCCTATGATATAAAATATTGAGGGTGAAAAATTCGCTGATGAACAGTAGAGATAGAGAATGCAGTTCAACACATTTTTTCATCCTCACCCGTTGTCGGGAGAGCACCATATGCTGCCCACCCTTCAGTCCAAATCTGTGTTCCAGGAACAACATTCTTGGAAACGATAGGGAAAAGTGTTTCTCGATGGTCTTCGTGTGGGGATTCCAGTTTTCCTCGTTGCGATCACGGTCGTCCCTCCTGGCTGTCAGGGCCTTGCCCTGACAAGACCCACGGGCCATCGATGGTGTGTCCACGATTCCTCCCAGGTTCGACATGAATGTCCCCCAGAAGCCTCCCCCGGTTGCACTTTCTCTCGCCCCTCAGGAGACATTCGTCCATTTGTACCCCTGTGGCTGGGGAGGAATCAAGCTCATTGAGCAAAATTTCCCTCATGTAAAGCCAATCCACCACGGTAGGGTTTGACATTCGGCACTGACGGACAAAATCATAACTATTAAAAAATGGAATGTATGCATTCAAAAAATTTTGAAAAGCCTTTGCGATGTAAAAACCTAATAAATTCGCGCTCACCATGCATTTTCTTCTACTGTTCCTAAAGAATCAGATGCAACACCTTCCCTGGGCTCATACGGCGTTGAATCGTCCCATTCTGGTCCTCATGGACGAAAATTGAACCTTTCAGCGCAGAATGGTCATTCTTGCAACCATCGCATCTAGTTAAAAAAGCGGTCATCTTGGTTCTCTTCCCCTAATTCTGTGGGAAATGTTTCAATGGTGCCGATTACGTAATGGTCATAAGCAACATAGTCATCGCTCGTAGTAATGATGTCACTGCGAAATAGTAGACCAAATATCTTCCATTTAAAATATGTTTCAATAATTGTAGAAATGAAATGACTGGTTACAGTTGAAGACTGACCCGAGTCAAAGTTCTCTGTTGCAATAGGGCAAGTCCTCTCGCTGATTGGCGCCATGAGTCTCTTCAGCTGCAGGAACTGCAAAGTAGTTCGTCCGTAGAGAAAATACGGGAAAACTCCTGAGGCCTCATGCTTGAAAATTGGACAAAAACAAGGAAGAAGGAAAAATGTGGTACAAAACAAGACTTACGGTGTAGAAAATGTTGAGGAATAGAGCAGAAAAACAGGACTCAGGGAACGCGATTAACAGTTAACCACGCCTTCTAAAGAGACGGCTGAAGACAATGAGTAAACTGTGATCAAACCACCAGGACAAAAAGTATTTAATGGAAGTTAAGTTAAAAAAGAAAGGAAATTTCACAGACAGTTAATATGTGTTGAGAACTTGAGTAGTCACTGTTGGACTGTGATTGCGGAATACTGGTAGTCAAACTCTGTTATAACGTCATCGAAGGGACCAGGTAAAAACCGTCGTTACAGGCAACGTTAGAACCGAGGTTGGTTCCTTTATTGGCCAGGTTGGCACTACATTTTCCTGTTTTCAAAACTGATGCTATATAACGTTACAACTCCAGTTTATATTAGTCATACTGCACTAGCTTCATTTTCAAGATTGACCCACTAATCGTGATGTTCGCACTTCTTTGGACCTTGAACTACTTCATACTTTAGCAAGGCTTCGTCGATGTCATATCGACAGACCCTAGGTAGTTTCTTGTCTTGTGATATGTTCTCGTAAGAACGGACGAAGCTGTCACAATTTTCCCAAATTGTGGAAACAGATGAATAGATGTCCATGTTCGCGAGCGACATTAGCTTCACTTCGAGCTCTTTCTATTAAACTAATCAAGCACACTTTCCTTTCAATCGTGAAGGCTTGCCTCTTTCGTTTTCCATTGGCCATGTTGTCAACGAGAAATGCAAATGGCGACCTAGGCCTTCATATGGTGAGCTCCAAGCACATTGGCATGATCCTGGCGTACGTTGAGTAGTACCCCTCATTCCGAACGCGTTGATGGCATCGTCATCTAACAGCATCCGTTAGAACTAGTGTTCTACCCTACTTCCCGTAGATGTCGGGCAATGCTCTGCTCCGCAGCATGAAACCAAAGTGTGCGAGAGTGCGTTACTTCTGGAGCCATGTTTTGGAGAACCATGATGTTAGCGGTAAAAGGCAAATGTTAAATTCAGAACATTCATTTATTATATATGACTATAGTGACCGGAGCATTCTTGTAGTGTATTTTACAAATTATTTTATTACTGTTGCATAAGTATGAGACGAGAGGACTTAAAGTTTAGACAAAACTTGCCAATTGGCCCATGCCAGCAGCATAAAAAGAAAGAAAAATAAAACTATGAAAATTGTCAACTCCGTCAGGGAGATTTAAAGCAATAAAAGTGAGAAAGTCAGAAACCACGCGTGTCAAAAGAATAGAAGGATAAAACAGAACGATAAAAGGCCCTCTCCTCTACACTGTGGGTATTGAAGTCCCATCTCGTCCAAGAAGGGAGAGGCTTTGTGAATGGTCCGCCACCAACCTTCCGCAAGGTGATTCTGGAGGAGCGCGAGTCGGGTGCCCCTTCCTCTCTTCAGGATTCTAGCCTTTAAAAGCGCCCAGGAGCTTTCGATTCGCCGTGTGTTAGCACCTAGGAAAAGTACCGACACTATTAGAATGTCTTCCGGGACGAAATAGATCCTAGGTATAGGTATATATAACCCTACCGGTAACTGGGTCCACGAAATTCTGGGAGTCACACTGTTTTCCATGTGAATCCGTACCGGTGTGGCTCGTGATCGCGTGTCCCTTCTTGAAGCCATGTCGGAGGCATCCTCTGCCATTCGAACTGAAAGCTTTCGGGGCTGGATGCGCCCCTTCTCGTCAATACTTTCATCGCTGCATAGCAAAGGAAGACATCGTAGCTGATGTAGATGAGATGCTTTGGCCGGGAAGAGACAGATTTGACGAAGAATGAACCCCAGGTCTTGCATAGAAGGGTATTCCAGTTATATCATATCGTACTCAGCATTTTATCGCATGAAGTTACATTGAGTGAAATCAGGAAACTGGTCGAAGGCTCTCTTTCCGCTTCTATGCCTTCCTCCTGAAGAGATATTGTAACAGGAATGCATTTTGAGATGAGGGGTGTCCCCTTCAAAATAATTATTTAGTGCTGTCGCTTATTGGCAGTCCATAGACATTCTTAACCCCGTACGTTATAAAATCGAAGAGCGTACTTTCATTTTGATAGAGGGATGGTCTCTTTTGAGTGACAGACGCATAGATTTGGGAAAAGAGCGCAGAGTTCTGCGGATCGTACGTTAAGCTTTGAAAAATGTCCAATATATGAAAAATGGCTTTAGCAATTGGAAAAAACTAACATTTCATGCTTATAAAGCCCTCCTGTGTGGTGGCTCGAAAACAGGCATATGACCGCGACTTAAACCTGTTTACATTTTTAGTAAATTTTCTTTCGGACGAACTTCAATGAAAGATTGCACGTGAGTGAAATAATAGTTTTATGGGTCAAATCTCAATTGGAAGACATAAGACGAGGAATAGGACGGACTGGATCTTTGATAATCGCCTGTTGAGCCTGACAGATACTGGTCAGATGGAGAGGGGAAATGTGGGCGTAACGGAAGAAAATGCACGCCCGAGGGAAAAGTATATGCATACACGTATTAATAATATAAAGGTTCCTCTAGTGGAAGAGGAATTAATATTTAATGATCACTTCGTGGAGTGGTGTTGCTGCTATTTTGCGGTATGGAGTAATGCTCACGCATTATGCCAATTATCGCGCAAAATTCAGCCGGTGATTCGAGCTACCGACGTCACCACTCGGGACAAAGCGCTGGCACCGACAGAACAGGCGTTGCGAGACTCCATGGAATATGACTGTATTCGGTGGCAAAGTAGTTGTGCTAGGTGGTGACTTTCGTCATGTTTTGTATCTCGCCTGCAGGGCATCTTGCGGTCAAATCGTTATAACTTGCATAAAAAAGGAGCCCTTTGTGGTCATATTTCCGAACGATTCCTCTGAGAGGAAACGTCTGCTGCAGCAAGTGAATTTCATTTCAATCGATGGTTGTTCGATGTAGGCAGCGTAACACTTATGCGAGTACAGAACGAATGATTAGTGCACTCCGTGCGTTTACCGGTCGACTGCATCTCCGATAATTTAGTGAATAAGGCATTTCGTTACCGGATATTGTCTGCGACGCCGGAGCGAGCAACAAGCGCGCCATTCTATGACCTAATAATGACACTTCCCTTTGGTCGATGAGGACTTGTCTCGATTGGAAGGGGAAATGCGGATTGTTCTCAGTATAGACACTGAAGAACGATAATGGTTATGGTGCCGAGTGGCAGATGAAATTTTCAGTGTTCTCCTCAATACTCTCGGTCCCCCAGGCCTTCCTCCGCATGCCCCTAAACCTCAATAACAGAACTGTAATATTGCTTCTGCGGAGTATTTCTCACGGGGTCAGACTTTCCAACGTCATCATCATGAGGAACGTGAACGCTAATGTGTTACAAGTGGGAGCGATGACGGGCGCGCCGAGTGGCGGAGTGACGAGACACGCTGTGTTACGTTGAGGGATACCTTCATGTCGATTCCCGATTCCGCCATCATGAAACACACCCGATGGGAAGATTGTTGACTACCTAGACATCTATTATCTAATTTTGCTCAGCCAACCCTCCCCCTAAGAATGTCACCTCTATTTACACTCCAGGCTATGGGCTTTTTGCTTTTCCTAGTCATAGGCTAGGCGCATTTCGTGAGACGAATGGCCAGAAGGCCTGCTAGCCTTCACCTCTCCGATTCATAGGCCAAAACGCAATTCGTGTTGCGAGCATGCAACTGTTAGGTCTACAAGCCTTTGNTCGTGATCGCGTGTCCCTTCTTGAAGCCATGTCGGAGGCGTGCTCTGCCATTCGAACTGAAAGCTTTCGGGGCTGGATGCGCCACTCTCGTCAATACTTTCATCGCTGCATAGCAAAGGAAGACATCGTAGCTGATGTAGATGAGATGCTTTGGCCGGGAAGAGACAGATTAGACGAAGAATGAACCCCAGGTCTTGCATAGAAGGGTATTCCAGTTACAGCAGCTGCAATTCTCTCCTTTAAAGTTCACTCACTCTTGTACATTGTGCTGTTCGTTATAGAGTCTCCAAGTGCATTTCTATACTAGATGTGACAGGCAACATAGGTATATTGTACCTCCAGAAGAATCTGAGAGAGTTTTCTCCTAAGTCGCACATTTTCATTTTCTTCTCGTTTGATGTAACGTGAAATTTATTACAATAAAAAATATCGTACTCAGCAATTTATCGCATGAAGTTACATTGAGTGAAATCAGGAAACTGGTCGAAGGCTCTCTTTCCGCTTCTATGCCTTCCTCCTGAAGAGATATTGTAACAGGAATGCATTTTGAGATGAGGGGTGTCCCCTTCAAAATAATTATTTAGTGCTGTCGCTTATTGGCAGTCCATAGACATTCTTAACCCCGTACGTTATAAAATTGAAGAGCGTACTTTCATTTTGATAGAGGGATGGTCTCTTTTGACTGACAGACGCATAGATTTGGGAAAAGAGCGCAGAGTTCTGCGGATCGTACGTTAAGCTTTGAAAAATGTCCAATATATGAAAAATGGCTTTAGCAATTGGAAAAAACTAACATTTCATGCTTATAAAGCCCTCCTGTGTGGTGGCTCGA